ATTTTAGCTCAGAGCCAATCTTCTTCAAGCAAAAAGAGGACGAGCAACAGACGTTAGCTCAGGGCCAATCTTCCTCACTAAAAAAAAAAGCGATCTATCCAATCTGAATCTCCCTAGGAATGTGCTAAACACTTTCCCCAGGTGATTCTAATGCCGATGGTCCTTGGGCCACAGAAACACTGCTCTACAGGGTAAAATCCAGAATCATCCCCCTCTGACAGGGCCCCACCTCCCTCTCCAGTCTCAACTGCCACTCCACTATTCTGTTTAAACATCTAACTTCTTGTGGTTCCCAGAAAACACTCTCTCAGGCCTCCACCCCTTGGCACTCACCTGTTCTGTAATGCCTTTTCTCCCCTCTTCACCTGGCAACACTGGGGCCTACTCAGCTTCATCTTCCTAGACTGAGCTCTGCCTTCCCCTCCATTCCCTCTCTGAAGCCTTTCTCAGCTTTAACCCTCACTCCCTGGCACTGCTTCCTTCTCCTCTCCCACAGCACCCAGCACTTACCTAACTGCATTTCTTAACTATTTATAAGTCTATTTACTTGCCCATAAGCCAGCAAACCAGGTTCCTTGGAGGCAGGAATTTCAGCCTAGCTTAATTTTGCAACCCAATGCTATGGCTAACACCTAGTGGGCCCTCAATAAATGCTTACTGAATAAACAAAATCAAACTGTATGAACCAGTAAGGGTGAAGGCCAGATTCTAGCTCTTTAGCATTACCATCAAGATGCATAGTCTCTCTTAAAGACCTCTTATTGTAATACTAATGAATTCAAAATTATCACAATTCCTGTAATCAGGGTGTCATTGACAGCCAAGTTAATTAACTACCACAACAGTGAAAAAAAATTCATCATAAAATTATATTCTTGAAACCAAACAAGATATCTCCCAGAACACTTCCTCTCTGAAGCAAAATGATACAATGTGAAACTAGCTGCTACACTAGCAATTAAAACTGTGCCTTCCCTATGTCAGATTAGGTAAACCACAGTAGAAGCTTCACCTTTAGATAAGTGGGAGAATCCTTCAACTACCAAGACCCATCTGAAGAAAGGCTAGGGAGAGGGGTGGAATTCAAAAATTCACATTCAAAATACAAAAGTATCCTTCCGCTATCTAGGAGATGCACAGCTCCCTTTTCCCATACTTCCAAAATGATTTATATTCTTTTACACTTTCATTCCTTCAATAAATATCTGTTGAGCACCTACTCTGTTCACGTGCTAGACCTCAGTCATGCTGAACAAGACAGCTAGAGGCTCTGCCCTCTCAGAGCTCACATCCTACCAGAGAAGGCAGGCACTCAACTAATTATTCAACTAACCGTTTAATAAAACTGCGGTAACACAGAGGAGAACACAAGTGTTAAGAGAGCATATAACACAGAATCCATCCCATGCTCTCTTCTGTACTGAAAATCAATTGTCTTACAGTTTCTTACTACAGAAACCTAATTATCACTCTATGTGTGCATCCCTTTCAGCAGTTATTCCAAATAACTGCCAGGTTTCCAAACTGTAGCTCTCAAATGTACCTCTAGGGAAGATAAAGAAATTAGACTAGTGTAAAGGAAATTTTTCCAATAGCTGCTTTTACAGTATCAATTTTTCTCTACATCTCTTTGCTCTAATATATAGGGTCACATCAGGGAATAAAAATGTCTTTTGAGTGTTTTGTGTCTTTACCCATTTATGGGTAAAGCTGTTTGAATTCAATAAGCATTTATAAAGCACTTACTGTCAAAGACCACATAACGGGGAAGGTGTGATCTTCAGGAAGAAAAGGTCTCTAGGTGCAATTCACATTCCAGTAAAACTGATCACATAGATTTTTCCTTTGGACTCCTTTGGATTCATATTTTTAAATATGAACACAGTACTGAGTAAAGAACCCTTTACTTGAAGTTTAGGTTATAAATTTGGGCCCTCCCGGTTTTTTTAAAGGAAGCCTCGTTATAACTAAAATAACATCAACAAACTATATTTTAGTGAACACTGGACGCTTGCTAAACTGACCTTTGTTTTCCAGGATAATAGGAAACCTACTCTCAGACACAGGAAGTGAGTCAGATAATCTAAGAGGGGAAAAGACAGGAACAGAAAATCACACTCAAGTTTCTCGCAAATTAGGACGTCTATCTAGCTGGAAATATAAATCTAGGGAAGACTACTTATAAGAAAAAGTAGATTCCCTATTACAGACATGGCTGCAAATGAAACAGCTTTCTATTGGCATCCACCCAGAAAGCCAGAACCTAGTAAGGAAGAAAAAGTTTTACACGTCAGAAGAGAGAGGGGCCGGCCCCGTGGCTTAGCAGTTGGGTGCTCGCGCTCCGCTGCTGGCGGCCCTGGTTCGGACCCCGGGTGCGCACCGATGCACCACTTGTCCGGCCATGCTGAGGCTGAGTTCCCCATACAGCAACTGGAAGGATGTGCAACTATGACATACAACTATCTACCGGGGCTTTGGGGAGAAAAAGGGAAGAAAAAAGGAGGAGGATTGGCAATAGATGTTAGCTCAGGGCCGGTCTTCCTCAGCAAAAAGAAGAGGAGGATTGGCATGGATGTTAGCTCAGGGCTGATCTTCCTCACACAAAAAAAAAAAAGAAGGAGAGAGAGAAAGCGAGTAAAGCTTCAGGCAAAACAGGAGGTAACTGGGTTAACAGCCTTCTTTAATGAAAGTTGTAAAGCCCTGGGTTACCAAGAAGGCTCTGGAACTTCTTTCCACTTAAAATTTTAAGACAAGTCAGCATGTCAGTTCAATGTTGCTTGAAAGCAGGGGAATGTACTATGTGACTTTCTAAGGTCCCTTACAGTTTTTCCAATCCCAGTTAGACAAAATCCATTATGATTTTTTCAGTTATTCATTCATCCCACAAATGTTTACGGGGTGCCTGTGCTCAGGCCACGGTGGTCCATAAGACAGTCTAACCACTTGGGTATTACATTCTAATGGGTATACACACTAAAGAACTAATTCCATAAAGGAGCAAAGGGTGCTTTGAGAGCACACTTAAAGGAAAAGGGGTACTTAGAGAATGTTTCTCTGAGGAAGTAATATTTAAGTAAATATGTGAAGATGAACATAAATGGGGAGGGGAGCTACATTCCTGGCAGACATAACATTTCTTGAAGACCTGAAAAAAAAGGAGATGCCTACTAATGCTGAGGGGGCAGACAGTGAGTGACAGAACATGAAGCTGATGACATAAACAAGAACCAGATCATTCAGAGCCGCACAGGTGGTGTTATGGATTTTTGGACTTCATTCCAAGCGCAATGGGAAGACAATGGAGGGTTTTAAGCAAAGGAGTGATGGGACCAAATGCATATTTTTTAAAAGATCACTATGAAACGTAGAGACAGGACTGGAAATGCAAAAGTGGATGTGGGTGAGCGACAAAATTAAGTCATATTCGATTATAATCCAAAGTATAAAATAAATATCCATGAATCCATACTGATATAAATAAATGATTAAATAAATATACATTGGGAAGACAAGACAAATCTTCCATGCAGAATTCCAAACAAACTATGTTGACACTCTGCCCTCAAGGAGGTGAAGCATAACTCTCCACTTCTTAAGTGAGGGCTGTGCACAGTGACCTCCTTCCAAAGAAAGTAACTTTACAGGGAGAAACCTGACAAACACTATCCTGGCCAGGCGATCCAAGTCAGCATCAACAGTGATAAGTCATGTTGATAGCATGTCTTCTTCACACGATGCAGTGAGAACGGCACTTCATCTCTGTGGTCTTCCTCCCAAATACCCATAACTTCTGTCTAATTATAACAGAAATATTAGACAAATCCCAATTGAGGGACATTCTGCAAAATACCTGATCAGAACTGCTCAAAACTATCAAGGTTATCAAAAAGAGAAAACGTCTGAGAAACTATCATAGCCAAGAGGAGCCCAAAGGGACACGACGACTAAATGGAATGTGGCATCCTGGATGAGACCCTGGAACATAAAAAGGACATTAGGTAAAAACTAAAAAAGTCTGAAGAAAGTATGGACTTCAGTTAATCATAACGTGTAAATATTGGTGCATTCATTGTGACAAATGTACCATACTAATGTAAGATGTTAATAACAGGAAAAATTAAGTGTGGAGTATATGGGAACTCTGTACTAGCTTCACAATTTTTCTGTAAATCTATTCTAAAATAACTATTCTAAAACAAAAAGATTACTTAAACTGCATGTGGAGAGTGTGGGAATGGAACTACGCTTCCAGTTTAGGCTAAAAATGATAGAACATACAGGACCTCGTGATTCACTGGCTGGGGGGTCGGGCAGAGTACTGGAAGTGAAAGTGACACAGGTAGCAAGGATGAAAGACTACACCCCAGACTTCTGGCTTGGACAACTGGAGGGTCAGTGGAGTCATTCACTGATAAGGCAGCAGTGGAGAAGAACCAGATTTGGAGGATGGTTAACAACCAGCATTTACCGGAGGCCCCTTATGCGCCAGGCGCTTCGCAAATTCTACAGCTGAGGAAGCCTGTACTGGGAGTAGAGGTGGAGCGCATCAGCAGCATGGCCTCAGCGGTCACTCCTCTCCCCGGGCCTCATCTGCCAAACGACCATCTCCTTCTCCGAAGTTGTATGCAAGAGAGGAGGGTAAAAACTTCATTAAAATGAAGACAAGACACCACAGAAGAGAACTGCATCACCTCTCAAGGGGGCTAAAAAATAATAATGAAGTAAAGAAGCGAAGGGAATTCTCTCGCTCCACTCCCGTCGAGCGGTCTCCTAAGGAAAAGGCAATCCCCTGGGAGGGTGCGGAGTAGGGGCGGCGGGCCTAGGGTGCTCCCACGCACCCCGACCCCAAAGCCCCAAGACTTGGCAAGATCCCCGGAGCAACGCCCGCCAGTCCGCCCGGAGCCACGCGGCACAAGGTGACACGGACCGCGCTGGCCCCTCAGCCGCCTGGGAGAGGCCGGGACGAGGAGGGAGAGGGGCGTCCGCGGGGCCCGCGCTACCTTGTACTTATCAAAGCCAGCCAGCTGCTCCGGGCTCACGTATTCGTAACCAGCCATGACGACGCGGACACCCAGCGCCCACTCGGCAGCGACTCTCCGCAACGACGCTGAGAAGCACGAGCACCACACCGGCTAACTAAGGATGGGAGAACCCGGGCTGGCAAAGGCGGTGGAAGAGCCGCGCTCCGCCCACCACGCACGCGTAGCGCCTAAGCCGCTTCCGCCGCCTCCCAGCGCGCAAGCGCAGAGCCCCCTTCTCCCCGCCCATGGAGGGAGGGTCGCTAGCCTGCTGACGCGGCCCGCCCCCTCACGCCGCCGCAGTCCAATCAGCGTGGATCAGGCAACACTAAGTCCCGCCTTCCAGGTCTCCTAGTGGCTTGATTCGCTAGCGTCAAAATTGGTGAGCTGAGGTAAGGCAAGTGGGGAGGTGAAAGGTCAATTTTCCCGAAGGCTCTGCTCCCGGTCTCTGGGCTAGGCTGGCTAATTGTGTGGTATCCGCGCCTGGGTGGAGATTTGGGGGTATCCTTTTAGTTCGGGGGATTGGTGGAGGGAGTAGGGTGATTGCGTGCGAACCAATTCAGCAGTACCTTGGGGAGGAGGGCTTAGTTCCCTCAAGCCGTGGAGTAAAAGAGCAGAAAAAAGGTCTGTGGCCAGCCGGCTTCCAGCTCCTGGCACGGAGCGCTGCACGCAGGAGGAGCTTAGTGGACGTGATTTATGTAGAGAAGCCGGCGGGAGGCTTTTTGCAGTCGGTAAAGGGGCATGAAAGGGCACTGGAGACAAACCCCTCAGTCAGCGTTGTCTGTGCACCTTGGACCGCCTCACCACACTCGCGCTATCACTGTTCAGGTTAAGATTACTGATGTCCCCGGCCAGATGAAAGCACTGGTCTCTGGAGTCTCTGGGGGCCCTTAAATGCCTTTGCAAGAAGTGCGTTTACATAACTGGAGCCAGTCGTAGAAAGAACACTGGAACAATGGCTAGTGTGTATCAATGTAATAATAACATGTAATAACAGTAATAGTTGCTACCATTTATTGAGCGCCTTCTCTGCGGGGAACTTTCCGTAGGTTATCAGCAACCCCAATAACAACACTGAGGTGGAAGGCATTTTCCCCACTTTGCAGATTAGGAGATCAAAATTCAGATTACCTAACCTGCCCAGGATCATTTAATTACACAGCTGGGAAATGGTCAACCCGACCTAAACAGAGGCCTTTGATGTGGAAGCCACTACCTAAGGGAGCCTCTCAGTCTCTCTGGACCTCTGAAACTGAGGGCCATTATTTTGAGATCTCTTATGTTCTTTACATTCATTCATTCAAAAATATTTATTGGGGACTCAATATATGCCAAGTATATTATTATTTCTGCATATGTCTTATCTCCCCTTCTAAAGTTTAAGATTCTTTTGGGGTAGTAGATATAATGCATCTGTGATACCTGGTACATAATAGATGATCAATAAACTTGAGTGTCATTTTCCCTCACTTACCCTAAGGGGAAGATTTGTATCTTATACATCTCAGTTTTCCCCATGCCCCATAGCCCAGCGGCTTGCAAATGATATCTGCTCAATACGTTTTGTTGAATGGATGAGCAAAGATCTCTTTGATATGCTATGAAGTGCCCAGCTTGGAGAAGGACATTAGAAATGTGAATCTCCCTTTAATTTAAGAAGGAAATTGGCTCAAATGAAAGGAAAACTATGAAACGACCTCCTTGGGCATAAAAGTATTTCCTTTATGCAGGTGCTGTATATAAATCCGTTCTGTGTACCGATAAGAAAACTGAGTTGACACACCTTTGTGCTAAATACAGAGTTTTGGGCAATCCATTAATCAGACTGAGGCTATTGTCCCAAGTCATAGGCTACAGATTTCCTCTGCTATGCATTTCTTCTAATCAATATGAAGAGAAAAAAACTCTTATTATCAAATGTTTTTTTTTTAAAGAGTGAAGTAAGGTCGAGAGCTCCTTTTTTTTTTTTTTGAGGAAGATTGGCCCTGTGCTAACATCTGTTGCCAGTCTTCCTCTTTTTTCCTTTTTCTCCTCAAAGCCCCAGTACATAGTTATGTATCATAGTTGTAGAGTTGTATCTCTTCTATGTGGGACACTGCCTCAACATGGCTTGATGAGCAGTGAGTAGGTCTGAGCCCAGGATCTGAACCGTGGAAACTCAGGCAGCCGAAGCAGAATGCATGAACTTAACCGCTACGCACCACCAGGCCGGCCCCTCAAATGGTTTTTAATACAAAACCTTTGCTTACCCGTCTGAAATATGAACTTCATAGTTGAAAAACATATTTTAGTTAATTGTGGGAAGCCATAAAAATGTGTCTTGAGTACAACCTAATAATAGTTCATAAACTGCACTTATTGTTAATCACTTTAGATGTAAGCAAACTCAAAATGACATTTCTGATTGTGTAAAATTCTTTTCCTAGCTCTGATATTTTCTTCAAAAGTAATGTTTTTAAAACAGCAGCTTTTGATTTTGTGAAAGCAGTTACAATTTGCTGCCTCTCTTCTGCCAAAGTTTGTAACAAGTTTGAATCAATTATAAGTCAGTCTGAGAATTTCTAAACTGAAAACACACAGTTTTGTTTATACTTTGACATTTGTCACTTAACTGGCTGTGTGATCCCAGACAACTTATTTCACATAACTCCAGTTCTCTTTTTTGAAAAGAGAGCGTTAGACTAAATCTCTAAGACCCCATTCATCTCTGAAATGTAATGAAACTATATCATTTAACTGCTCTGAAATAAAGTCATCTGACCTGGAAAATGATTAAAGTTCTTGTCGTACCTTACGGTTATTACATAGAGCATGTGAAGTGATATGGCTTAAGCCTGTTAAATTAAGCCCATACAAATATACGATATTATTTTTCCAAAATTCCATGAATCCTAGACCTGGGTGAGCTTTACCAGGCACTCTCACCTGGAAAGGGAAAATTTTCAACTAAACACATTTGCCTTTGTAACTGAATCACCTTCCTGTCTCCTCTTTCCTGAATTTCATTCCAGGAGGCATTTATCCCCAAGGCAGCCCAGAGCTGCGAGGGATGGCTTCACATTGACCTGGCTATTACCTTCTGTACCCTGTGCAATCTCTTCCTTCTGCACCACAATACTGAGCATAGTTTGTTACTGCCTTGCTTTACTTGTCTGCCTCCTCATCCATAGAAGTTTCTCTCTTCTCCATCTCATACACTCAGGATCAGGTTTTTTGCCTTCCAGAATGATAATCATAGAAAATATTTGTGCTAGAAACAGCGTTAGCACCTTTGTGATATAACATGGAAAAAAAAGTGTTTTAATTCCTAGAATTCCATTTTATTTAGTCTGAAGTAAGAGGATGTCAGATAAATGGAGATATCTAGAAAATTGGAAGTTAGTTAAGGACTAATATAGTCAATAACTCCAATATAAGTTATTAAAGCCATAAAAATGGGCCAGGTTTCCCAAGGAAGCTTCTAAAGAGATATTGATTTGGTTTGCATTTTAAAATAATAATAATGTCTTATATTCATAAACTCTATGATTCTCAAAGCAATTTTACATCTCTCTAGAACAACTCTGAGCCGTGGGCCAGGTAGTGGTTTTAATTGTACAGAATGGAACAACAGAAGAATTATATATCTTGCCCAAAGTCACCCTGTTTGTTTATGATAAATCTGGAATAAGAGCTCAGGTCATCAAACCTTTAGTTGAATAATTTTTCCACTGAACCATGCTTCTACACGTTACCATGGTAAGATGTTAAAAAAAGAAAATCTGCAAGTCAGTTTTTAATCAAAACTGGAGAAAAAAACTAGGAAGAACTGAACAGATTCATTACATTGCTTACTGTTTCTTAAAATTGGAATTCCCTGGCTGGAGTAAACCTTCTCAAGTTGGGTTTTGTCTGCCTGGTTTTTGCTGTATTTTACATTTTTCAACCATAATCCTACTGTGTAAGAATGTATAGAGAACTCTGAGTGGGTCATCAATCATATTCTTCATCACAGAAAAAGTCTGCAATATGCAGAGATTCAGCATAAACTAATGCCGCTTTGTACCTGCTACTTCCCATGTCAGTGGAGGGGGTGGTATCTCTTCTATGCTGTGACTTGTCATCCTATCAGCCTTCCAATGGTTTTCTGGCTATTTTTGTGCTCCTGACCTTTGAACACTAAGTCAGTGGTGTCAGTAGTCATTAAAACCAAGAGAGGCAGTACAAAGGTTCAGAGGGAACCAGGGGCCCAGTGTGATATGAGGTAAGAATAAAATCACAGGTCTAGTAATTTATTTATTAGACCCTCTACATACTTGCCATTCTTATTTTGAAGATGAGTGATTATTTCTCTTTGAAATAGTGAGCATGACTGTAACAAAAAAGCAGAATTATTTTTAAAAACTGATTGCAGGCAAAGTTTTACACTGTGTAAAGTCTTATTTTCAGCATTCTTGAAGTTCTGGTAGTGACCCAGCATCTGTATTTTCTGAGCAGAGAATTGATACATCTCCTACACACATATCCTCTTCTCCATTATTACTGCACTAGAATAGAAGCAGAATTCTAGGTAAACCAAGTACAGGTCATACCGATGGGTGGCCATAGTGGCATCACCTCTGTTGTGCCTTTCTCCTTATTCCTGTTTGCCTTGTCTAATGTCAGGTCTGCAGATATAACCGAATGTAACCACTATTCTTTTTTATTATTATTATTTCAATTTGAACATACAGCCACACCAAGAGACCCCATTTTTGAGTATGGATCATTTTTGTCTTCATGAAACTTTGAGATCATTGGAGTTGAGATCGATGGTTATTTGGTTTTGGTAGAAGAGAAAGGTACTAGCAGAAAAAAACCTAAGAGGAGCAAGAGAGTAGGAAATATTGCTATGATCCATTTTCATGTAGGAATCCTCAAAAGCCTGGGGTAGGGATTAAGGCAATAGTTGCCAACCTACATATCTACTACATAAGCCTTTGAGATCTTCCTTGATATACCCAAGGCCATGCAGCCTGCTTGACCAGAACTCTAGCAGAAGCTGGCTCTACTTTTAGGAAACAAGATATACAAATATGAAATAATGTGTAAAAGTAACAACTTCATTATCTCTTCATATATCCTTGTTGAACGCTAGCCATGTGCCAAATATAGATACCATGATAGACCTTGGAGATACAAAGTTGAATAAAATATGG